CTGAAGTGTACCTGGCGTATAAGATGACCCCCCACTTGGAGGCATATTTTTCAGGGCCAAAAAATCGTCTTATACGCCGGCAAATACGGTATTTTGTGTTAAAATGTGATTCTAAGTAGGTTGTAGAAAGTTCAGTACATTTATTTCAATCCCTTGTACAACCATTAAAACCAAACAAACAATAACTGTACAAACTACTAGAGTAAAAACACAAAAGATAAATTAAAATGTAAAAATAGAAAAGTTGAAAGGACCCCTAAAATGAAGGAAAGGAGAAACAGAGAAATAAGAACTAGAGAAAATAAATAATAAAATGGTAGACTTAAATCCAAAGATATCAATAATTACATTAAATGTAAATGATCTAGTTTTGTCAATTTTTTCTTTTACAATTATAAAATTGATAAACTTTACTGGTGAAAGAAAGCATTAATCATTACAGTGTAGCTAGTAATGCTTTGCCTTAGCATCTATTTTATTCATTAGTAGTATGGCTACACCAATAAACTTATGGCTATTATTTGCATTGTATATCTTTTTCTAATTTTTCATTCAATCTTGTAAAATATTTTTTATTTAAACTTTTCTGCATGCTTATGCTTTTATGTCCCTCTTCCAAAAAGCATATAATTAGATTTTAATTTTTTAATCTATCCTGTCTGACAATAACTGTCATTTAAATGGATCATTTATATCTTCTGCTTATTGATATTTCAAATCTCTAACATTATTTTGTGCCTATTGACCTTCCTGTTCTATCTACATATTTCCATTTTTTTATGTTTATTTTGTGTATTTTTAATAATTTCATTTTCCTTTTTATGGTTTTAATTATTCCATCTGTTTTCACTTATAATTGATATATAATTTATATAGCATTTCTATTATTTTAGTGGTTCCCTTAGAAATTATAACATGTATACTTAACTTGTTAAGTCTGAAGTGAATTAATACCTTAAACATTCTCAGCACATTAAAAAAAGAAACCCAAAGCTTGGAATAGTTTAATAACATTTAGCCCCATTGAGTTACATACTATGTTGCTGGGGATTTTAGTTCTATGTAATTTTAGCCTCATGGGAGGTTATTGTAATTATTGCTTTATATAGCATTGCATATTTATATTTATCTATATATTTCAATGTTTTTAATCTTTATTCTTTCTTCCATGTTAGACTTTACAAATACTAACACATTTAGTAGTCTGTTGGCCTTTACCTCACCTTTATTTCAATCAGTACAGAATTTTAGGTGGACTTAATTTTTTTTCCAGCGCACTGAATATATTATTTCACCATTTTGGCTTCCACTGTTCCTATTCTATTGAGAAATCTGTCAGTATGATTGTGACTCTTGACTGTGAACTGCTTTTTCTCTGCTTGATCAAAAGAGTTTCTATTTGCCTTTGTGTGTGTGTGCACGGTGCCTGTGTCAGATTCCTTTTATTTTTCGTAATAGGAATTTGTTGGGCTCCTTGATTTTCTTGATTAGTGTCTTTTACTAGATCTCAAATGTTTTCAACTACCATTGTTTCAAATACTTCCTTTTCTCCATTCTTTAACTCTCCTTCTTTTACCACTTTACAACTATCATCAGAACTCCTGCTTCATCCTATATGTCCCTTACTGTTTCTTAATTGTTTTCACTTTTTCTCTCCATGCTTGTATCTTTCCATTTATTATCCAGTTTACTAGTTATCTCCTGAAATATGACTAATATGTTGTGGGACCCATCCTTTGAATTCTTAATTTCAGGTATTATGTTTCAATACCATCAGTTCTATTTACTATGTTTTTAAATGTGCTATGTCTCATATTACTTTTTATTATTTTCTGTCCTGCAGATGTTTCCTAGCTTGTCTCTTTCAATTTTTGAAATATTATTTATATATATATATGTGTGTGTGCGTGTGTATGTATGTGTGTGTGTGTGTGTGTGTGTGTGTGTTTTATAAGATTCTGTCTCATAATTGAAATATCTGTTTTGCATCTGTTTCTGACTTTTGTTGAATGTTGTCTTTGTAGCTCTAATTTATTTAACAGATATTTAATAAGGGCCTATATGTACCAGGCACATTTCCAAATATGGGGGATTCAACAATTAACAAAAAATTAAAAGACCCTGACCTTCTTCTGGAACTTACATTTTAGTGACAATGTTTTGCATTAGTGACATGAAAACTACCATCTCCAACTTCTCTATTGGTCCTTCTAGGGTCTCATCATAATGACAACATTTTAAAGATTTGAACTGAGTAATCATGGCTCCTTTATCATCATTTGTTGCTTAAAAGGACTAACTTTGAGCTTCTTCAATATTATAATCATATCCAGTGCACATTGCATATTCAGATTTTGTCTTCTAACACTGAGTTGCAATTACATACAATTTTGTTTTATCAAACTGCTCAGAGGTCCAATTTGTTATCTCTATGACATTTCTAGAACATTTTGCCTCTATAGCTCCTAATCAAGGGTATGAAAGGGTGTCTGTGGATAAGTGAGGAGCTGCCTTGCTCAGCCTAAATTTTATCACCTTCTGGCTCATGTAAACTACCAAGTTTTATCCTGTCATAAAGCCTGGAGTTGCAATCCCAAACTAGGCCCAGAAAAACAAGTAAATGAGGTCTCGAAGGTAGATTTTCCTTTGCCAATGCTCCCCTTTCCCCTTGTTAAGTGGGCTCTACACATCTGTTTCCTTTATTTGTACATCTTTTCCAGTCTCTATTTTGTTTTGTTTCAAAATATATATGTATATATAGTTTTTAAAATATTTTTTCTTTTTTCCAGTCTCTGTCTCTGTTTTAGAAGACCTGTCCCCATTTTATAGTACTTGGATGTATGATATGTCTTACATCCTGTCTGTACTGATGTGTTTTTTCACCATACTCATATTTGGCCTACTTTGCACTCTGAAAGGTAAGTGAGACAGCGAGGGTAGGAGCCCTGACAATGTTATCTCCTATACCTCCACCAGAATCCCTTGTATGCTTAGCCTGCACTCTGAAGTTTCTGTCATAGGGTCAAATAAGCTCTAGAAGAAAAAAAGAAAAACATAGCTTGGGTTACCCATGCTACTTGGGTTATCAGCAAGTAGAATGGAGACACTTTAGGACTTACCTCATGACTTTCTAAGTGCTCATTCCACTAAATTCCCAAATCCCCCTTCACTGATAAAAGAACACAGAAGTGTGAGAATAAGGGCTTTCTCATTTATATTGAAGACTCAGTGGCACCAGAGAAAGACCTCAGCCCAACCACAGCTAGCTGTTGAGCAGTTAATTGTTGAAAGTTTGCTGCAGATCCACAAGGAAGGTTCTCTTGGACGTTTCCACGGAACTCTTCATTCAACTACAGCTTATGATATGGTAACGAAGGCACATGTACAGGGAAGGGTAGCATGCCATCCAAATCATGAGCAATTCCCACGTAAGAGTCACATATAAGCAAAAAGAAAGAGCAGATACAATAGCAGAAGAGAGAGAGCAACCAATGGAGGCTTATTTTATACCGTTCTGAATGCCATGGCTCCAAACCCTAATCAATTACTCAATCATTGCACTTGTCTGGGACTAATAAATAAATGTAGTTCCTTTAAGGATCTGGAGGTTATATAGTGAGGAAGAATTGAGACAACACCTAAGCTTCCTGTTCTGCCTTTCTAACCCTATGAATAAAGCCTCAAAAAGAATACCCCACTTGCTGAAACTTTTCTCATTTTGCTTGAAGTTTGATGTTTAATTCTAGAAGCCTTTCCTACCATGTGGGTCATAGATACCTAAACTTTAGTCTTTTTTTTTTTTGTAAGCATTTCTTCCTATTCTGGATATTGGGAATAGAAAAAGGTAAAGACATTTGGGCAGAGTTACAGAGCCTGAATTCTTGCATCTTGTTATTTCCTATCCACTTATTACACCAACAATATTCCCAAGGGAAATAATGAACATAGATATGGCTAGGGATATTGCTGCTCCTTAGTATTAAGAACTTCCTCCAAATAAGTTAAACCTCAATAAGTGGAGATTGGTCCTATTTAAATGTAAGCCTCAGACCATGAACTAAAATGGCACCAAATAACTTAGATCCATAAATTCAACAAAAACTTACCCTGTTGACTTTACCACTCCCATTGTAAATGAAAGGTAGTCCAAAAGAGCACAGCAGTCAGAAAGAAACTCAGGACAAGGACAAGGGAGGCAAGAAAAAAGTATGTTTGCCCTAATTGAGGTTTATATTTAGGCTCCGCTTCCGGTCAGAGATGGCGATGAAGGCAGATGTACAGGGAGAGGTAGCATACCATCCAAATTATGAGCAATTCCCATGTAAGAGTCTCATGCCAGCAAAAAAGAATAGAAGTAACAGCATAAGAGCCAGAGAGGGCTGTGCTCACGCCAATACAGGCTCTTTTTATCCCCTTCTTGCCACTGCTTAAGGGTTTTCTCTTCTGTCTAAAAACAGATCATGTAAATTCCATTTGGTGGTGTTCAAGCACTCACTAATGCCCTAAGCCCTTGAACCAAATGTGTTCTGTTTTGAGAGGGGCCAAATTGTGTGTCTTGTCCTGGCTTGTTTCTATCTAAGTCAAGCAATTGTAAAGGAATCAGGCTTCATGTTTTTAGACTACAATTGTCAAAGTAATGAGTCATAGCTGTAACATCTGAATTCACATTCTACTGTCAAACCATATCATTTAACTTTTTCCTTAACAAATACATTTTAAACATCCCAATGTGGAATTAGAACTGTATCTGTCTTGGGAGAGACACCACTCCCTTACCTAGATGGTATACTCCAAGTTTATGATAGGCAGCCCTCAGATTTTGTCATTTGTATGATATTAAGCCAATATTTTTACTGCTCTATCTGTATCTCTTTATCCACTCAATGCTTCTTGAATGGCATATGTAAGTAACATAAAATGGTTGCTGATACTGGTTTCTGCTCTAGAATTTAACTCTATAAAACATTACAATCAAAGGGGTTCTTTTCTCTCTCCAATTTTTTCCTGTCTAGAAAATATAGATCTTGATCTTGATCTTCATTGTCCTATGAATGTCAGGTTGTACCATCATGACCTTTGATGTACATGCCTTCCCCATACCTTAAGTTTAATTAGGATTGAATCCATATACATTTAATAACAACACTTGCTGCTTCCTTAACAGGTTTTCTATAATCACGAACATCTGACTCTTCATCTGAAACACAGGACACTTGAGGACAGCAGAACCAGTTATATAAAACTTTGAGAAAAAAGCATTCTGGGCTAAGGGCCTATAGTTTTGTGCAAAGTCAAATAACGAGCAATGTGTGACAACAAAATAAAAATTTTCATAGATATTTTGTAGTCTTTGAATGCATTTATTACATATGTATCTTCCTTGTAAATTACATGAGAAATTATCTAAGCCAAATGTAATTGTACTATAATGAAGATCTCAAGCAAGGGGAGTGTCTATAGGTAGAAAAAGTGATAAGCTAAGAAACAAACATATCACAAAATCTAAATGTTTCCTTGAAATAATCCCTGTGTACCATAATCAGATATATAAATGGACTAAAATCTTTGATTTTCAAACTGAAACTCAAATTGGAAGAAATTACAAAATAGAAAATGTTTGATTTTCAGGACTTATGCTGTGATGGTTAATTTTATGCATCAACTTGACTGGGCTATGGGATGCCCAGATAACTGGTAAAACATTATTTCTGGGTGTTTTTGTGAGCCTGTTTTTGGAAGAGAGTAGCATTTGAATAAGTAGACTGAGAACAGCAGATAGCTCTCATCAGTGTGGGCAGGCATTAGCCAATTCAGTAGAGACCCAAATAGAACAAAAAGATGGAGAAAGGGCAAATGTTCTCTCTTCTTGAGTTAAGATGTCCATATTCTTCTGCCCTTGGACATGAGAGCTCCTGATTTTCAGGCAATTAGCTTTGAATTGGGAGTTACATGACTGGCTCCCCTGGTTCTCAGGACTTTGGACTTGCACTGAATTATACCACAAGCTTTCCTGGTTCTCCAGCTTGATGATGGCAGATCACAGGAGTTCTTGTTCTCCAAAACCAAATGTTAATTTTTATAATAAATTTACATATAATGTCAGAAAAGGATAAGATTGATGTGGACCTAACACCTCAAAGACAGGTTTTTGGAGTATGTGGGATCTGAATTGGACTTTTAAGATATTTAATGTTTTGGGTTTAGAAAATAAACTAGAGGAAACACCCAGTGATGCTAAGGAATAGAATTTTTGTTAAAATTTTTTTTAAATGGATTGTTTTTAAGCAGTCTTGCTTCTCTCCTAAGTTCTTGTTAATTTAAAAAGGTCTCCTGCGAGATCTGCATGGTTAGATCAGAACTAGAAACACGCAACTATAGTTCTCAAAATAGAGTTAAACGAGTTTTGGAATTTGAAGTGCTGAGTTCAGCATATTTTGATAGAATTAATCTTAGTATAAAAAGAGACAAAAAAAACTTCCTCTCTCTCTCTTTCTCTCTCTCTCCCATCCCCTCTTCCTCTTTTTCTCTTTCTGTGTGTGCGCACAGAGAAGGGGTCCTGAGGGCACACAGTGATGTGGTGGTTACCTACAAGCCAGCAAGGGAGAACTCACCACAAATTGACTATGTTGGTACCCTGATCTTGGACTTTCAGCTTCCAGAACTGTGAGAAAATAAATATCTGTTGTTTAAGCCATCCAGTCTATGGTATTTTGTTATGTCACCCCAAGCTAACTAATATATTTTCCCTATAAAGCAATAAGTAAACTGGGAAAAAATATGTTAGAAATCAACTTTTTCAGAACTCTGGAAATTAGCCAAAAGCTTGCAACAACCAGAGGTTCACTTAATCAGAAAAGAAAAAAGAAAAAAAAGCTAAATTTAGGTAAGACAGTGAGGTTTGGGGCATTTTAACTTAACCGCTTATATTCTGCTTCCCAGATCAGTGGTTATCTTGAAAATAACAGCCTGCATTCTTCGACTAGTACTGGAAGAGAAAGCAGAAATGCACCTCATTACCAAAGATACATATAGGTTGGAACCCACATGCATGACATCACAAGGTTAGATTGATACCCATATCTATTCTTTATATGGATTTATTGCTTCTGACCTTATTGAGGAGACTATATGCAGAAGCCAGGGCAACTTTATAACAAAACTAACACACACATTTGGCTTAGGAGTCAGAGAAGTTGCAGGAAGATTAATGGGAAGATAGAGCAATTGTAGGTCTATCTGCACATTTCCCTTGTGGCCCATCCAAACTGGAAACATAAAAGAAAGAGCATTATAGAAACTGTAGTTCAACCTAGACAAGTTGATACATTATAAAGCTACCACAATGTCCTCAAATCAAATTTTTTATATGTGAGAAAGGACAGAATCATCTGAATATAAACTAAGAGAAAAAAGAGACAATAGAAACAGACCCAACAATCCTACAGTTGATTGAGATAGTAAAATTAGCTGGTAAGTTTAAAATAATTATCACTGATTTGTTCAAACACGTAGAGAAAGAGTTACATAGCATTACCGTAGAAGTGGAATCTATGATAGAAAAATACTTGGGATTCCTAAAAGAAAAAAATATAACTTCTGAAATAAAATGCTCATTAAAATAGTTTAGTAGTATATTAGGCAGGGAGAACACAGGATTAGTGTCGCGTCCTGCACGGCAAGGGCTGTGGAGTGCAAGAGGGGTGGTGAAGAGTTAAGAAAGACAAGAGCCAAGTATCAGGTTAAAGCGGGCCAGGGGACTCAAGTCTCTTGGACTGAACCCTGAATTGGACTTATGCATGGCTTTTATTATCTGCTGCTACAAGGGAGTAAATTTGTTTTTCTCATTCCATTCTATTGAGCCTGTGAAACTTGTACCTAGCAACTGTTTTCCCTGAAGCCCCATTGTGCTCCAACACGTACTGTGCCTTCACACACACACACACACACACACACACACACACACACACGACCCAGGAGATGGACTCAGCATTCCGAGACCATCGGATAAGGAAGCTTTACCGAGATCATTCCCTCGAGTCTCAGCATTCCGAGACACTTCCTTATGACTTCATGGGATCAACACGCAGGAGCAGTCAGCTTGTCAGTTGCGAGGCTACAGATTAGTGAACTGGGAAACTCTCTAGTTATAAATATCCAAACTGAAGGACAGAGAGAAGAAAGAATAGAAAATAAAGGAAAAAAGCACAGGGAGATAACAGACACAATGAAAAGATCTAACATACATGTAACTAAATACCCAAAAAGGAAAAGAAGATAACATAGAAGAAATGTTTGAAGAAATAATTGTTGGAATTTTATTTTTAAACTTATGTATTCAAGGAGGTATGTGCAACCCAAGAAGGATAAATATAAATTAAACCATATGAAACACATCATAAATAGACTATGAAAACCAAAGTGAAGCAAAAATGCTTAAAACAATCTAGAATAAAGACACATTGTCTCCAAAGAAGAAACAATAAAACAGATCACTGACTTTTCAACATATAATACAAAAGAGGTATGCAACAATGAAATAACTGATGTAACACTTTGGAAGGAAATAAGTTCTGATTAGGGTTTTGTTCCAGTTGACATTATCCTTAAAAAATTTAAGTTAAATAAAGATGATTATATCACAATCTGAGAGAAGTGAGTTTATTTTAGTTTAAGAAGATACTTACAAATACCAAGATCTCCTAGTTCTTGAATCAAATTAAAAACAAGTTTACATCTTTAACCTGGTGTGAAAAGCTCAGTCAATGCTTGGATTTTTGTAAGCCAGTATGTCTCCTTCAAGGTTTCTAGTTTTCAGAAAGCCTATCTCTCAGATATCTACCATGTGGGAGCTGGAGGCATTCCATGGCTAAAATGCCACAGATTTCCACTGTACTTACCAAGATTCAATAAATTTTCTTGAATAAATACTCTCCAATTTGTAATATGAAACTAACAATCAACAAAATTACGCAGTGGTTGCAATTTATTTTATATTTCTTTGTTTAAAATAATTGTCAATTAGCCAAATATCCAATAAATATACTTCTTCTCCTTATTTTCTTACCCAGGCACAACTATCTGGAATTTGTTATGCAGTTTATGTGTTTTTGTAGGTATTGCGTGTGTATATTTAAAAGTATATATTTCATATATTGTTTTATTTCAAATTTATTTCACTATTGTTAAGCCTTAGTTATCCTATCTAAATGTATTATACTTGTGATTCACTATCACATTGATGTCAGTCTAAGATATAACTTTGTGATTCACTATCACATTGATGTCAGTCTAAGATATAACTTTGTACTCAACATTATCTGTTGCAGTAGATTGAATGTTTGTGTCCCCCCACCCCCACTCCAAATTAATCTCTTAAAATCCAGCCCGCGGTGTGGTGGTGTTTGGCGGTGCCTTTAGGATGCGATTAGATCATGAGAGTGGAGACCTCATGAATGGTATCATGCCCTTATAAAAAAGACTCCAGAGAGTCCCTTAGCCTTTGCACCATGTGAGGACACAGCAAAAAGACAGCTGTCAGTGAACCAGGAAGTGGGCCCTCAGCAGACACTAAAGCTGTTAGATACTTGACCTTGGAATTCCCAGACTTCAGAACTAAGAGAAACAAATTTCTGTTGTTTATATGCCACCCAGTTTATGATATTTTCTTATAGCAGCCTGAATGTACTATGATATCTGCTTAAGAAATTTTCATGGAATTGAAAAGAAATTTACTGTATTTATTGAATTTTATTTCCATCTAGAAAAATAAATGTTCTTTCTATCTCTGTCATTACCATTTAATTCAGAACTACAACAAACACCTAGTCTAAGTGGAAATGTAAATATTTATTTTCTATGCATACCAATTTTTATTAATTATTGACAATTTTCTAAGTTGTTTTTTTACTAATTTTAAATAAGGAATGCATGAGTTCCCATTTACACAAATAGTCATCAAAAAGTGATGCTTTTAAATGTTTGTTAGTCTGATAGTGGTAAGATGAAGTCTCATTGTTTTGGATTTCATTTACCCTGAATCGTGATTTTAAGAATCTTTTCACACATTGTTTTATTTTACTTTATTTTATAAATAAAATTTCTTTAGTACCAGAACCTGAGAAAAGTGCTAACAAATATTAAATCAGGTCATCACATTAGGAACCTACGAGGCAGGTACTATTGTTTGATCTGTCAATTCCTGATGCCAAGAGGCATATTAAAATCTTACTCAATATTTATAGAATTGTGTATTTTCACTTACATTTCTTTAAATGTTTTCTTTATAGATTTAAGCATGTATTATCAG